TATATACTGTATATTGTGTATATAGGTGATTATTACCTGTGGTGTAAATTAGAAATGTTCTTATAAATAATAATGATAAGTAATAAATTTATATCTTTAAAAAGATTATTCAATAATCTAACCAATATAAAATAATTAATAAATTTGTTCAATTATAAATACTGTAAGTTTAATATATTATTTACCAAGAAGGACCTCAACAGAGCCAACAGGTTGACTTGGTAAATTTGCTAATATAGCATAATTAGTTTTAAAACGAATAAATAAATAATAAATATAGCATAAATTTAAAATAAATACCTTTAATTACGCTTGATATTCTTTTAGTATTTATTATTTTGCTAGTGTACATAGAATCTGGATTTTTTGGTGAGATAACTGGCAATTCTTTGATTATTTTATCAGCATCTAAGAATTGCTTTGTAATTTCATTTGCCTCATCTGAATTTTTATCATCTTCATTCAGCCATTTATAAAGTTTATCGCAAATGTCACTAGCAATAGGCCGTTTTTGTGGATCTGAATTCATGCATTGCTTAGCTAATTCAATATAGCATTTAGGAGTCCCAAGTGCGAATTCAGGTCGCAATCCTTTGCATATATCTAATGAAAGAGTAAGATCAAATGAGTGACCATCAAAAGGTCTTTGTCCAGTTGACATCTCTGACATAATAACTCCAAAGCCATAAATATCTGCAGCTGATGTAAACTCCTGTCCCAATAAAACCTCTGGAGCGACATAAGGCAAGACTCCATAAATACCACCTTCTGAATCATTTTCACCTATCTTTTTAGACATTCCTAGATCTGCAATATAAGATCGCATATTATTACTAATACCTTCATCTTGCAAAATATTACCACTGTGAAAATCTGCATGAACATATCCTGCTTCATGAATTAGACTTAAATCATATGAAATATCTATAAGTATTTTTAATTTAATTTGCCAGGTAAGATCTCGAAATTTCATTCTTAAAAATTTATGAAGACTTCCATTATCGGCATATTGAAATACCATGAAGTATTCGTTTGTTTCAGTGTTTTGAGTTAATCCATATATATTAATAAGAATTCTACTGTATAATCTACATTTCATATGATTGTCAAACTTTGCAAATTTATAACAATGAATTAGTTCAATATGTGTTTAATAAAGCGTACAATATTTAACTTACCTCTTTCAAAAAATCGGGAGGATTTTTCGTGGAACCAGACAGGGTCTTGAGTGCAACGGTGCTAGATGGTTCACGCGATCTTATATATTCATCTTCGTCATCATTATCATCATCGTCATTTTTCTTAACTTTTTTAATCTTTCTTATACCATCTAACCAGATCGCAGAAAATACAGAGCTAAACCCTCCTTCGCCAATTTTTTTAATATTATTTAGTCTATCAAATGGAATCAATTCAATCATATATTCATAAAAAGTAGTTCTAAGTTGAAACCCTTTCACGCAATTATCAATATCCTTATTTCCACTTGTCCACTCTCGAATTGTTATGTCTGGATCACATGCCTGACACCATGCTTCTCGCGTGTTATATTCATTACAATATGCACATTTTCCATATGTAAATTTTCCATACTCTGAACCTCTTTATAATTATTGATTGTATTATGTTAGTTATCATGTACTCTTAAATTTAAATGCAAAAATTTTTATACTCACCGACTAATTAACACAAATAAAATAAATGTTCATGAACTTTAAATAACTTATTTTAAATTGATTAATGAATGTTCTTTATACTCACCCACTAAATTAAGGCGAATAAAATAAATTTAAATAGTAAATATTCATAACTCGAATAGCTTATTTTAAATGCTTAGATTAATAAATGTTCTTATACTCACCTCCTAAATTAACGCGAATAAAATAAAATTAAATAGTAAATCTTCATGAAGTTGAATAGCTTTATTTTAAATATTTGGTTTAATAAATGTTCTTTATACTCACACACTGAATTAACGCGAATGAAATAAAATTAAACAGTAAATATGAACTTGAATAACTTATTTTAAATACTTTGGTTAAAAATGTTCTTTATACTCACCCACTAAATTAACGTGAATAAATAAAATTAAATAATAAATATTCATGAACTTAAATAGATTTTTTAAATATTTATATTAATAAATGTTCTTTATACTCACCAACTAATTAACGAGAGTAAAATAAAATTATATAGTAAATATTCATGAATTGAATAGCTTATTTAAATACTTGATTAATAAATGTCCCTTATACTCACAGACTAAATTAACGTGAATAAAATAAAATTTAGTAAATATTTATGAACTTAAAATACTTTATTAATAAATGTTCTTTATACTCACCTCCTAAATTAATGCGAATAAATAAAATTAAATAGTAAATATTCATGAACTTGAATAGCTTATTTTAAATATTTAGATTAATAAATGTTCTTAATACTCACCCGCTAAATTAACATGAATAAAATAAAATCAAATAGTAAATATTCATGAACTTGAATAGTTTATTTAAATATTTGGTTAATAAATCTTCTTTATACTCACACACTAAATTAACGTGGATAAGGTAAAATTAAATAAGTATTAATGAACTTGGATAGCTTATTTTAAATACTTAGGTTAATAAATGTTCCTAATACTCACCCGCTAAATTAATACAAATAAAATAAAATTAATGGTAAATATTCATGAACTTGAATAGCTTATTTTAAATAACTTTGGTTAATAAATTTTCTTTATACTCACCCACTAAATTAACACGAATAAAGGAAAATTAAATAGGAAATATTCATGAACTTGGGTTTTTTATTTTAAATACTTAGATTAATAAATGTTCTTTATACTCACGCACTAAATTAACGCAATAAATGAAATTAAATAGTAGATATTCATGAACTTGAATAACTTATTTTAAATACTTTGATTAATAAATGTCTTTAATATACTCACAGACTAAATTAACGTAAATAAATAAAAATTAATATTTGAATAGCCTATTTTAAATACTTGGATTGATAGTGCTCTTTATACTTACGGACTAAGTTAATAAGGATAACCCAATTTTAAGAATATCATTTAAATGGAAATTACCATGAACTATTGCAAACAAATTGATTTTTTATAATTTATATAATTGATCATTATACTTACTCTCTAAAGGATTAAATAATTTTTAAGGATTTCTAATTTTAAAATGTAAATTAAATTCATGATAAAATTAAAAAATAACGTACTTTTCAACCCAATTCCTATATTTTTTATAATTCTCTTCCACACCAATTCCGTATCTGTAACAAACGGCAGCTTTCCAAATTCCCATAGAATTACCAGCCTCAGCGGATTTTAGATAATACATGAACGCTTTATGCTTATCTACTTCAACCCCAATTCCTAAATAATAACAATAACCAACTTGATACATTCCGTTAGGATTATTCATATCTGCAGATGTTTGATAATAAATGAATGCCTTATTCTCATCCTTTTCAACTCCAATTCCATATTCGTAACAATAGCCAAGCCAGAATATTCCATCTGAATCATTTATATCGGCTGATTTTTGACAATCGATGAAATTCAACTGATTAAAAGCATTGGTGACTTCAATAATTTCATCTGATGAGGTATTGTCTTTTGTATCTGGCATTTTACATCCAAAACGTTATATGCTGTATTAAAAGAATTAATGTTGAACGTAGTAAGTACATTTGGTTGATTTATTTCTTTGGCTTTCTATCAACCAGCGCAAATAAGTAATCCGTACACTATCGTCGATATATAGAAAAACCTAGTGCTACCATATTACTAAAAAAAAAAATTATAGGCTAAAACTGAATATTAAACAGCAAAGTTGGTTGCCGATTAAAATTTTTATGGATCGACTAAGCCGTTAAATTTTTATTGGTTCAGACGCTTAGTTAATGGTTGATATAACTTTCCACAGTTTATTTAAATAAAGGTCGATCCGCCGAGATGTGCTACGTCGCATGACACAAACCCAATTACAAAACTAGGGAACGATATGCTAAGGCAAGCCGAAATGGCCACTACATAAATTGAACAATAGAAATAAGTATACATGGATTTCTTAGTATTCGAAAGAAATAGTCCTCAATCAAACTCTACAGCACTAGTCAACACCAATTAGATTAATAGTAATTCTAAAATTAACAGCATACCATCCGGACGTCAAAGGAAGATTAAATTTATTTTTAAAATATATTGTTAAATAATGACTTTGTTATTGATTATCTAGTCACAATAGGTATGGTAAAAAAAACTGGGGTTAAACTTTTTTTATTGTTTTAAAACTTTTTTTTATTGTTTTAAAACATTGACGTCTGATGCTAAAATTTTGTTGAAATTGAAATATTGCCTCTGATTGGTTAATTTTAATTTTCGGCTGAGAAATTCTTTTTAAAAAAATTACATAAAAAAAAAAATTAAGAAAATATTTGTTCACTTTAATTTTTATCAGATTACATTTTTAAATGCGAAATTTGCTTATCGGCTGAATACTATTTTTTATTCTGTATTAGTTTTATATTTGTTGGTATTGAGATTCACAATATTACCACTATGTAAACCTCATTGAATAAGTTTTGCGAATGAATTATTTATCAAGTTCAGTAACTTTTGTAAAGTTTAAGCAGATTTCTTTAACGGGGTCTTTCACGAACATGAAACGTTGTTTTGAAGAATTTGTTAGCGTTAGAAATTATAATATACATTTACTCAATCGGATCATATAATATATAAAAACATTTTAAGACTTATATCAAACAAACAATCATGGTTTTTAAGATCGTGTTTTAAAACATTTACCATCCCTAGTCCATGATGAATTCCGTACTCAAAGACCTTTGTGTAAAAGATATAATTTAATATTAAGGTAGATTATAAAAAACACAAAATTCGTATAATTTTCCATAGTTAATTCATACGTAAATAAAAGTTTTATAATAATTTTTTTTGAAATAATCACTAAAAAAATAGAAAGATGGGTAAAAAAAAAAAAAAAAGAGTTTAAAACCCTTTATGTGAATATTAAATCGGAATTAAAAGACATGCAAAATTTCATAGTTTAGTGACAAATTTGAAGAAAATAAAAGTTATGCAGGTATGATTGTATATGCGGTTGATGGAAAGTTTACATGGAAAAATACAGGAGGTAAAGCATCAGGATATAAAGGAAGAAGTTTTTACATCGTTATACAATGTACTAATGATTGGCCATTAGAAGTACTTAACGATGTTGGAAATGGACAAGTTCATCATTATCTTATTAAAAATACATTTGGATTTGATTATGATCAAGATATTATTTGTTGTGGAGGATTTTCTTATCATGAAAAACAATTAAAATTTAGTAGTGTTTGGTTAAATGAAAGAAACCAAAAAGGTTGGGAAAGTGATGGATCAAAGTATTTAAGCGGACCTGAACAAATTTTAGTAGAATATTGTTTTGAAGAGTATAAGAAATTTGGTAGTCATCATATATTTAAAATACCTAATTATATCGAAAAGCAGTTGATTAATAGTGAGTTAAGGATGTGGTCCTACCCAACAAATGTTGGCTTGATTTAAAGTATGCATTATCAGATTTGAAGGAAATCATGTTAATGCTAGTTTATTCTTGTGTTTATGGGCGTGCCTATTCTTAGATTCAATACATTTTTTCCCTGTTTTCTCTATACTGTATACTATATAATTTATAGGATAACTTATATAAATTTATCATGTTATATATAAGTGAATTTGGAGTTAGGAATACATTTGATTTAATAAAGTTCTTGAGAATAAATCACTTTTCGCCTTGCGAAGTTTTGAGAAATTAAACAATTAAAACATATCGTTTATAATGCAAAACGTAATGCTACGATGAAATGACTGGGGGCTGATTGAATATTAAAATTTAACGATAATGTGCGAGAAGGTAAAAGAATGTGGTCAATCTCTACTATATCTGGTTCAAAATGCAGAGGTTAACTGTCATTCAATGTAAAAAAATAAAGAATAAATTTTTTAAAGATATCATAGAAAATAATTATTTAGATAATAATTCAATGTTCTAAATTGTATATACTACATTTCTTAATATATACGTATCAATTTTATTTGCATATCCATTTTTTGACATTCGCATTTATACGTATTAAGTTGCCTTGAGATTCAAATCCATTTAAGAGGGTTCGGCTGAATCCTAATCCTACAAAATGGTACTGTATAATATTTCGATATATACGTACTGTATATGAAATATATATTGGAATTTTATATAAGCGTTCCGACAATTGCCTAGTAGCGCGCGGACTAAATTATCCAGTGTTGCACTACGGATTAAAATATCCGGTATGATGCACTGTTATACTATGCAGATTAATGTATGCGGTGTGATGCATAATCATACTGCGCGGCTGTGCGGACTAAAGTACCAATGTGGTGCGATTGTTTGTATATACTAATACCCTTTGTTTTGCTAGTTAATGTCGGTTTAAAATCAACCATGGTAAACTGGTGAATGACATACAAATCATTTTAATTATCCAAAAAAGGGGTGCCGTCAAAGGAAATTCTACAATCGGGCTTTCAAGTATATTTTGTGTACAGTTGGTTATCTGTGTGCCGTCTATAGTAAATCTATGTCCGATAATAGATTCACAGTAGACGGCATACAGATAACCAACTGTACACAAAATATACTTGAAAGCCCGATCCTTTGACGGCACTCATGTCATATATATATATATAGGTACGTACGTACGTACATATATACATGTTCAATTTTTTTTAAAATCCATGGCTAATTTGACAACTTATACATATGAAGATATTCCTATTGATAATAATACAATTAAATATTTTTTAAATGCAAATGGCAATAAACTTAGCTACGCTGAATTCATTAAACTTTTAAGTTTAGGAGAAGAAAATTTTTTAGACACATTCAAAAAAGCTTTAAATGAAGCAACGAATAAACTATCCGCATATTTTTGGGAATGTCCCCCTGTACATAAAGAAATGACAAATAAACCATTCGAATTTGTAGTAACTAAATCTACGGCATTAAATTATATTAAACAAGATTACTCAAGCTTTAAAGAAAAAATTACTGAGAATAATAATAAAGAAGTTTGTAGTTTTTTAAATTTAGGAAAAGATGCTACTTTAATTGTTCCTATGCCTTATCACAATCTTAATTATAAAAATATTAGTAATTTTACTAAGAATGCTCCAAAAGAACAACAGATTAAATTTTGGCAAGAAGTGGCTAATAAACTGTCTGAATGTTTGGAAATCGGTACTCCTAAATGGTTATCTACAAGTGGTTTAGGTGTTCATTATTTACATATAAGGATTGATAATAAACCAAAATATTATAGCTGGAAAGAATATTTACCGTTTAAACTTGAAAAAAATAATTGGGAATATGAACAATCTAAAAATAATCTTAGTTACAATGAAGAAATATCACCTCTTCGGCAACCATCAAATATGGTTGTGCCAAATGTTGAACCAAACGTTGAACCAAAAAATGATTCAAAAATTGAACCAAAAAATGATTCAAAATTTGAACTAAAAAATGATTCAAAAATTGATTCAAAAAATGATTCAAAAATTGATTCAAAAAATGATTCAAAAATTGATTCAAAAACTCATCCAATAGCCTGCCAGCCTTCTATACAATCGAGAATTGATCGAAAAAATAAATTAGACAAATTGATGAGAAAAAAGAAATTAGATAATGAATTGTCAAGAAAAAAGAAATTAAATAAATTGAAATATAAAAAAAAGAAGAGAATGAATGTGATAAATAAGACTTAATTAAAAAAGCAGAAATAAATTTTATTCAAATAATAATGAAAAACCCAATTTTTTATTCAAATCCTGAATTTACTGTAATTCGTGCATTCATGCATTTATTTTTTTATTTCCTTCTATTTGATTTTTTTTACTGATTCGCGTAAATTTTTTTTTTTTTGTTCATTACTTTTATATATTGCGTTAATAAAACTTTTTGTCAAATGTTTTAGAAATAATAATAAAAAGAAAATATGTCACTAGTTTTATGACTAAATAAAGTGCAAGTAACTCTCTCGATATATAAACCCTTCGAATAATGGCGTTCTCAAGCGCCTCAATAAATTAGGCAAAAAGTGTCAGGAAATAAATTTCATTTAGTGGAAAATATTTTAACCAAGTTTATTATTACGATGAAATATAAATAATATGCGTAACTTGATAAAGTAAATAGTAAAAATATTAAATGAATTTTTGATTTAAATTACCACAAACTATCTTTTATACCTGCCTTGGAAAATTTTACATTCAGAGATCGTTCAAGTAACTTTGCCATGGATTTCATTCTCAAATTACCTCTTAGCTTTTGCTCATATGGCAATAAATTCAACTATTCCGTCAATAACCTTTTCATTTGATAGAATAGCCTAACATCAACGGTCCTAAATTTTGACAATGACATATGAAAAATAAGAATTAATAAGGGACTGCTCAAGTATCAATAGCAATGTTGATTATGATAAATGCAGAAATTATCATTTACGATCATATCAAAAATGATGCTTGAGAAGATTTCAATTACATAATTCAACAAAAAATTTTATGTAAATATAATTATGGTTGAACGCTATTCGATCACATCGAAGGTTGACGCTTGAGAGTATCCTAAGAAAGGTTAATTGAATTTTGACATTTGATATATCTGAGATAAAAAATTTAAGTAAACATTTGTTTACATTGCATAAGAAAGCTATTAATAAATTAAATTTTATATATAAAATTTATATAAAAAAATTTTTAAGACCCACCCGGTTATTACTGTTATCATAATTTCTGGAACGAATGGTTTTCGGCCGATTCGGGTTCGGGCATAATGGATTCAATAAAATTTTGATATATATCTTTGGTTGAATAAGCGTCTTCGCTGGTAAATCATTGTTGGTATATTCGGGTTCACAAACACTACTTTCAATTATTGAAAAACTTTCATCATTTTTAAGAAACCACGTTTATTAAACATGAACGATATTAAACATAAAACTTTAATGAAAAGAAAAAAATATGACTTTAGTAATTGTACGTATGAATTACAAATCCAAGATGGAACTTTGGTTGGGACATAAAATTAGTCTTATGACAATTTGAAAGGCTTTACACCGACTTGGATATACACATAAAAATATATATATTTACGTATATTTTATACACAGTATATATGGGTGTCGCCAAAAGAAAACCCAACAATTTAAATATAGTCTATATTTAAATTGTCGGGTTTTCTTTTGGCGACACTCATATTATATATTTTTATTGTATCTGATGCCTTTTTATATTTTTGTCAAGATTTATTGGTTGGCATGAACTGTCTTTTCCATAAATTCTTCGTATAAACTAAACACATCAAACATGTTGGGCAAGAATTAAACCGAAAATTTAATAATGCGTAATGATCAAGTTATCTGTGGATATCGATATCGATATTACATGTAAAGTATATGTCTTATAATCCGATCATGCCGAAATAAATAACTTACTCGAATCGGCCGAATCATTCGGCAAATTTTTATCAGGTGTTCCAGAAATTATGAAAACAACTGTAACATATGTGATTAGATAAATGGGATTACATAGAATTTGAGCCAATAATATATATGATATAATGTGATTACTAATATTAAAAGTGATTATTTGCCTGTGATTGTAAAATTATTTATTATAAAAAAGTTATTATAGATCTGACCACTTTTCTATATAGAAAGCAGGGTCGATGATTTTCTGCGGCAATAAATTCTGCGTATTACATTTTCGAGACGGTTTGAGGAGTAATTTTAATTTTTTTTTTTAAGAGCGAGGGTTTTGCCTCAGTTTTTATTTATTGAACTAGCCGTCGTCACGTCAAAAAATAAAAAGATAGCTACCGAATTGTCCATCTATCTCTTAAACACTAAATAAAGATTAATTAATTAATTAACTTAAATTTTGTATACGAATTATGGTTCATGCATAACGTTTACCTTATATTATCTAAATAAAATTGAAACTTAATATCTAATTATGAAATTAAGCAAATAAATAAATTCGAGAAGCTATATCTCCGACAATCCAATCCGTTCCTCGAAGTAAATTTTCTGCACTACAACTCTGAATTGCCCAGTGATGAGTTACAATTGAATTAAGGTCAAGTCCTTAAATAAAATTTTTCTTTAACAACAAAAATTTATAAAACATTATATGCCTTGCATATAAATTACTTACAGGACAAGTAACCTTATTTCTTTTTCTTTTTGACGAATTTTTTCATAAAATTGATAAAAGTCCAGTTAGTATCGCGCCAAATCAATTAACGTAGTGTGGATTCGTTTTTATTGGCTGATACGCAACATACTGTACGTACAGTACGTATAAACACGGGTGTCTAAATTATTTTTTAAAAAAAGTAATTTCGACAAATATTTTGATATTGCTAGTTTTTTATAAGAATTTCCACAAAGTAACTATACTAATGTATTTTGGCATGAAGAATTCAAATGATTTTGCTAAAAAAATTTCGACAACTATGAAAACTA